CGGACGCTGGAGCTCCTACTGGTGCTGAGGACCCGGCCGCTGGAGTCCCGTCTACTTCTGGAGACACTGCGCGGCCGCGACCGTACTTCGTACCGCTCCTTCAGCAGGTTCTTGGGCAGGCTCCTCCTCCTTGTCCTCCTCCCTCCGTAGAGTGTCCTCCGCCTGTCCAGCCGCAGTCACAGTTACCGCCTGCCTCGCCTCTCCCTGCTCCCTCTCCTTATACTGGTCCCACAGGAGGTCTTATAGAGCGTCGTGAGCCTGAGTCTCGTCCTGCGTCGCCTGTTCGTCCTGCTCGCACTGGTAGTCGTGTCCGTCGTGAGCGTCCTCCTCCTGTCCCAGGCACTCACTACATGACTCTGCGTCCCTCTACTGCTCCTCGGCGTGTCCCTCTACCGTCTCCTCCTGCGTCCTCTTTGCCTGCCGTTCCGGACCCTGAGTCTGACCGGTATCGCGCTGAGCACCCTACAGTCACGCGTCTCCTTGCTACTGTTGTCACTGACCCCACCTTTGAGTCCTCGGCTGCGTCTGCTCTGGTCGCTGAGTTGGTTGACTTTGCTGCTGCCTGTCGTCTAGACTACGCTGCTAGCCTTGTCGCTGAGTCAGAGTCTGCGTCTGTCTGTCCTCCGTCCGTCGGGGGTGAGTGTGCTCTTGGCACGGACGTCCTTGAGGACAGGCAGGAGGACTTTGACTCTCTTGCGGCTGCTGTACCTCATCTCGTGGCCTGGTTGCTTGCCCCTGAGGGAGACCCGGATGCAGTAGACATCCCCACTCCGCGCACTTACGCAGAGGCGATCTCGGGTCCCTACTCCTCTCAGTGGCAGACAGCCATGGACGCAGAGATGGCATCCTGGAAGTCCACAGGCACCTACGTCGACGAGGTTCCCCCTCCTGGGGCGAACATCGTCGATGGCATGTGGATTTTCAGGGTGAAGCGGCCGCCAGGTTCTCCGCCTGTCTTCAAGGCTCGTTACGTTGCTAGAGGCTTCAGTCAGCGTCAGGGGGTCGATTTCTTCCAGACCTTCTCCCCCACCCCGAAGATGACCACTCTTCGGGTTCTGCTGCACGTTGCTGCTCAGCGTGACTACGAGCTTCACTCTCTTGACTTCAGCACAGCGTTCCTACAGGGCAGCCTACACGAGGAGATCTGGCTGCGCCGCCCACCTGGCTTTACTGGGTCGTTTCCCCCTGGTACCCAGTGGAGTCTCCGCCGGCCAGTCTACGGTCTTCGCCAGGCGCCACGTGAGTGGCACGACACACTGAGGACTACTCTTGCGGCTCTTGGGTTCGCGCCGTCTACTGCTGACCCGTCGCTGTTTCTGCGCACAGACACGTCGCTGCCGCCGTTCTACATCCTCGTGTACGTCGACGACTTGGTCTTTGCTACTGCTGACACTGAGGCACTCGCTCGTGTGAAGTCGGAGCTGCAGAAGAGACACACCTGCACTGACCTGGGTGAACTGCGTAGCTACCTTGGCTTGCAGATCACCCGGGACAGAGCTCGCCGCACCATCACCCTGACTCAGTCACACATGGTGCAGCAGGTCCTTCAGCGCTTCGGCTTCCAGTTCTCCTCACCACAGGCCACACCTCTGGCTACCAGCCACTCGCTCTCAGCTCCACCTTCGGACGAGTCCGTAGAGCCGAGTGGCCCGTACCCAGAGCTTGTAGGCTGCCTCATGTACCTGATGACTTGCACGCGACCTGACCTCGCGTACCCTCTTAGCATCCTTGCTCGTTACGTTGCGCCTGGGAGACACAGGCGAGAGCACTGGGAGGCTGCTAAGAGGGTGCTGCGTTACCTGTGCAGTACATCAGGCATGGGGCTGGTGCTTGGAGGACGCGACAGAGTTGTCCTCACTGGTCACTCGGACGCCTCTTGGGTGGACGACCTGGCTACGCAGCGGTCGTCACAGGGTTACACCTTCAGCCTTGGCTCAGGTTCTGTCTCGTGGCGGTCCACCCGCTCTTCCTCTGTTCTCGGCTCTAGTTGTGAGGCTGAGATCTACGCCACAGCCATGGCTGCACAGGAGTTACGCTGGCTCACCTACCTGCTGACTGACTTGGGAGAGCGGCCTAGTTCTCCTCCAGTTCTGTACGGTGACAACAAGGCGGCTCTTGCCTTGTGTCAGGAGCACAGACTGGAGCACAGGACGAAGCACATTGCTCTTCGCTACTTTCTTGCTCGAGAGCTTCAGCAGCGCGGTCAGCTTCGGCTTGTGTACGTGGACTCGAAGGCCAACACTGCTGATATCTTCACCAAGGCGCTCCCGCCTAGTGATCATCAGCGGCACTGTACTTCTTTAGGCCTTGTGTCCACGTTTCCTCACTTGCTCACTGCTTGACATTCTTTGTACTGTACTTTATATATATCTTGTTGCTTGTTTGCTAGGTTTTGATCACTGTGTTGCTTGTCTTGTACTATATCTAGCACTGCATGTGAACTGGCCTTGTGGCCTTTACTTGTGCTCGGAGTGTGGTGACGTTGTGATCCACCCTGGGCTTTGCTTTGCTTTGCTGGACTGGTCTTGTGACCCTTTGTTCTCCCCCACTTTGCCTATGGGGGTGTGTTAAACTGTATTATGCTTGTAGGCTGTAGTGGGGTAGCCAATATGGGGTACAACCCCAACTAGGGTTTCATATTTGTACCCAAACTTCTGCTAGTTCATCATTCTTGCCTAGTGATTCTGAAAGAATGTACCCCTTAGAGTACATGGCTAGTTAGGTCGTTTCGTATTCCCCTGTACTCATATTTATATTTCTTGTATTTGCATGTTTTATTTTATCTCAAGCATTTTACATTCACTCTGCTATTGAGGTCAAGGGCCCACCAAACTATCTTACTGCGTGCGAACCTTCCTGAGTAGATCCTGGGCTACGATCAACTTCTGATCGCAGCAGGGAATGGGGTGCGTTTGGGTTTTTTGGGTAGTTATCTTTCCTTTTAGTTTTTGTTCTCCACCTCCATTCTCCTCCATTTTTTTCTTTTTCCTTCTCCTTCTTTCCCTTTTCCTCTTTCTGTCTCGGATCATGTGTATGTGCTATAAATATTTCTTATGATTACACTAAAACTACTTGCAATGTATGGAATTTTAAAAGAGAAAATATGTCAATGGTAACTACATGGGGCACTAAAACGCGTACGGTAACGATTTCAACGCGTTTGGTAACTCGCTTAACGCGTTTGGTAACTCGCTTAACACGTTTGGTCACTCGCTTAACACATTTGGTAACTCTACACTAGCAGCCCATCACGCGAATGGTAACTACATGAAATTCCCGCCGAAATCTTCCTGAAAATAAGGAATTTATCGAGTTTGAGAGCTTTTACGCACATCATTATCTTTCTTGAACGCGTCCCGCCACGAAAATTAAGGACCCCGTTTGTTCTATTACCACGGACCGAAAAGTTCAGAATTTATATATAATTATGTAGCTCGTACAAAAATGGATAACATCATATTTTGATAGCATGATTGCGAACTTGCAAAACGATAAGCAAAACTATTCCCGAAAGGACATATGGAATTTTACTTTTTTTTTAATACTGCAACGTTGGAAGATTTTTCATGTGAAAAAAAAACCTTTTTAAAATTACATCTTTCATTTTTTAAAATAAAGATCCATAAACGCCTGGTCGCAAGAAGTTTAAGGTTGTTGCTCTCAAATTTATTTGCCATCTGAAAGGGATATAGATTTGTTTGCCCCGGCTGCACGATAGAATAAAGTACAAACAGTTTGCGGAAAGTGCGCCAGAAACATTTATGTAAGAAAAGCTGTTTTCACAAAACTTACGTTTTTGTAATTTGCCTGAAAATCGGAAAGTGTCAGAATTTCGGAGAGTGTGTCAGAATTTTCTGCTTCAGGATTTGTCAATTTATTCTGACGCGAGCGGGAAAAACCAGAATCAGGCTCAATTTCGGTGGGAATTTCATGTAGTTACCATTCGCGTGATGGGCTGCTAGTGTAGAGTTACCAAATGTGTTAAACGAGTTACCAAACGTGTTAAGCAGGTTACCAAACGCGTTAAGCGAGTTACCAAACGCGTTGAAATCGTTACCGTACGCGTTTTAGTGCCCCATGTAAGTTACCATTGACATATTTTCCCATTTTAAAAAGCAACTCTTCCGAGCCATCTTCGGGCGGCGTCCCCGACTGGCAAACCCCCCGACCCCGTCCCCGTCACAGTCTCAATATTCGTTTACTTTGCGCACTCTGTAAGTTCATTCATAGCACGTAACACTGATGCACTAACCACGCGACAGTAACATTCCCAAATATCGTTCAACTCCCACACAATCCCCAATCGCTGCGCAAGCGTGCCCTAGCAACCCCGCACGCCTTCTGCATCACCCGCGATGGCGATAATGGCTGCCGTTGGCGCGCCAGGCAGAGGCTACTCCCCTTCGATCCGCGCCGCCACCACCACCCTTGACCCACGTCGCTCCGGTCGCATCGCGGTCGTTAGCCACGTCGACCTGCAGCCGCGTCACGCTTTGTCATCGGGGCGACGCTGCGGAAGAATCGAATTTGTTGGCGGAAGAAGACCGCATTCTAAGCGCGCATTGGCCATTTCCCGCAAGGGCTGCGGGCGCCGTTCCGCGGATGCTCCACCGAGGTGGCTGGTCACCCGCGCGGGGGGACTTGGAGGCGGAAATGGCGGAGGGCCAGCGGAAGACGAGGGTAGAGGGGGACGCGGGTCCGCGGAATGGGTGGCGGGAGAGGCGGAGGCGGCGGACCTGGACGCGCCGGTGCTGCGGGTACTGCGGGAACGGCGGGAGCAGGGGAATGCAGGCGGAGCAGCAGCGGGAGACAGAGCGGAGGCGTCTAGCGGAACCGCGGCAACAGCGGGAGCAGCGGCGGAAGCGCCAGAAGCACCGCAAACAATAGCGGAAGCGCTAGCAGCAGCGGCAGCAGTGGTGGCTAGCAGCGGCGATTCAAAAGGAGTGATTGGGCGCGACTGGGGTGCCACGTGGGAGGCCGTGACTAAAGCGAGGGACCTGATGGAGGAACAAGAGAAACGCAACGGACGGGACGGAGGGGAGAATACAATGGGAGGGTTACTAGACAGGTCACCCTGGGATTACCCTAGCGGGGCAGACTCAGCAGCTGGTACTGGAGCGTACAATAGCGCGTATGGCGGTAGCGACGCTGTTGGGAAAGCGGAGGAGGCGGCGAGAGTGGCGATTATTCGCGGGTTTGAGAAGAGGGCGGAGACGAGAGCGGGTACAGTGGTGGTGCGGCCAATGGCGGGATGCCACGTGGCAGAGCTGACGGAGATGCTGACGGATTCGTTCATGGACTACATGGGCGGCATGACGTTCAAGCCGCTGCTGCGCATGCAGGTGCGGTTAATTTCTCAAGTTTCTGCGTGAGGGTTTTGGGTTGGAAGCTAGGGTTTCTGGGTTAGGGTTGCTAATTCTGCCTGCAACGGCCTGCCTTGATTGGGATGGGTAGGGGTGGACTGGAATCAGCGGGGACTTGCCCGTGTTACTCTGCTCACCTTCTCTGTCTGTCTCTTCCTGCTGTGCTGTGCTGCTCTGTGCCCTATGTACTTGTGATGAGCACTACCCAGTCATCAAGTCCCGAGTCCTTTGTAAGCTCCTTCCCCTCTCTCTCTCTCTCGTCAGTGTGTGTGTGCTGTGCACGTGCCCCCCCCCCCCCCCCCCCCCCCCCTCTTCTCCCCCCTTCTCCCCTTCACGCTCGCACCTCTTCCCCGCCCACCAGATCTCTGTCTATGTGGCAGGCCGACTACGCATTGTGCCACATGGCGTGATGCTAGTGGCTACTCTAGAGCAACCCCCTCATTCTCCTGACAGCGAGCCAGATGCTGCTTCCTCCTCCTCTTCCTCCTCCTCTTCCTCCTCCTCTTCCTCCTCCTCTCTCTCCCCCGCCTTCCCCCTCTTCCGACATTCGTCGCTACAGCCTGCAGCAGCAGCCGCTACAGCCGGGCGCAGCAGCAACAGCGTCGCCACCGGAGGGACCAGTGGTGGGTGTGGTGGAGCTGGCACTCACAGGCAAGGCACGCCCTGCCTTCCCCACGCTTGACCCCCCGCCTGATGCTGCTTACCTCTGCAACATGGCCGTGGGGCACCAATACAGGCGGTGAGTGGCCTGCAATGCAGGCAGTGGGTGGCAGTACAGGCAGTGGGTGGCAGTACAGGCAGTGGGTGGCAGTACAGGCAGTGGGTGGCAATGCAGGCGGGTGGCGGCATGTGGGAGAGTGCAATGTGAGGAGTACGGGATGAAAGTTGGGAGAGGGAATGGGCAAGAAGGGGTGTACAAGAGGGAGTGGGCAAGAGGGAATGTGTAAGAGGGAGTGTGCATGAGAATCAACTATCGCCATATTGCCACCAGCATGAGCCTCTCTCTGTCGTCTGGCCTCTGAACGTCTACCATATATTAACATCCTTCCTTCCCCCATCCACCCTGAACCCACCTTGAACTCACCCTAACCCACCCCACCCCACCCCAACCCGTCCCACTCCACCGCACCCCCCCACCATCAGGCTGGGCATTGCGCGAGTGCTGCTGTCAGCAGTGGAGGAGCTGGCAGCGACCCTGGGAGCCACGTCCATGTGCCTGCACTGCCGCCTCGTGGATATCCCCCCCTTCCTGCTCTACTCCTCCGCGGGGTATACCACCACGCAGCAGGACCACCCCCTTGCACCGCTCCTCACCTTCCAGCGTAGGAGAAGGCTCATGCAGAGGGAGTTGAGTGGGAGTGGGGAAGAGGAGAGGGGGGAGAGTGAGGGAGACGTGGAGGTGAGGGATGAGGGTGGTGTGTTGTAAGAGGATGGGGGGTTTTGATTGGAGGGGGTTGGACGGTGGTGTTGACGCGAGGGTGACTAGTTTTGAGGTCTTCGTTGTACAGTTGATGATCTTATTTACTGTGTTGTGTGTCCAGTGTAGACAGGTGGTGTATCAGGCTGGCTTTGGGTTTGGCATAGAGGGGGCACTGTTGGTAATAAAGGTGTGCCTTCGCAGGTTCTGCAAACCTCTGCAGCAACTGTACTCCTCTTGGTTCAGCAATGAGAGCAGAGTAGTGGGTGTGTGAAAATGGCATCGTATTAATTATATTGTGCTCCTAGCATGCAAAACTTACTCAAAGCACGGGCCCATGGGTATCAGGCAGGCCCTCAGAAGTCAGACTTTTTTCTCTGATTTGGGCTTTTTTCTCTGATATTTCAGATTTTTTTTTCATGTGTGCTCTGATAAAATCAGACTTTATTGGGCCTCAACTCTGTAATTTTCAGACTTTTTTTAAGGCTAACTCTGAGAGTTCAGAGTTTTCTGAGAGTGTACTCTGATCATTCAGAGTACAAACTGTCGAACATATACCTGCTGCATATTGACTAGGCTGTAGTGGGGTAGCCCATATGGGGTACAGCCCAATTAGGGTTTACTACTTGTACTCCTGCATGCTGCTAGTTCATCCATTCCTGTTGCTAGATTCTGACATGGTATCAGAGCACTAAGGTCCGTAGGACCGTTTTTTTTCGGGCCCACCTACCGCTGCGGTTACCGCGCTACCCCACGTACCTGCCTGCCTTGCCTTGCCTTGTGACGTGCTGCACTATGTGCGCCGTCCAGCAGCCCTAGCGCTGCCTCCTACTGCCCTAGGCCAGCGCGCTGCCCCTAGAGGCCCGTAAGGCCCACGCGCCGCCCCTAGAGGCCCGTAAGGCCCGCGCAGCCCGCTGCAGCCGCGCGCAGCCCGCACAGAGCCCGCGCAGCCCGCTGCAGCCGCGCGCAGCCCGCACAGAGCCCACGCAGCCCGCGCCGAGCCGCGCACAGCCCGCTGCAGCCGCGCGCAGCCCGCACCGAGCCGCGCGCAGCCCGCTGCAGCCGCGCGCAGCCCGCAGCTGCCGCGCGCAGCCCGCGCCGAGCCCACGCAGCCCGCGTCGAGCCGCGCGCGGCCTGCTACGGCCTCGCGAGGCCCGCGCGCGGCCCGCAGCAGCCCGCGCCGAGCCGCGCGCGGCCTGCTACTGCCTCGCGCGGCCCGCAACAGCCCGCGCCGAGCCGCGCGCGGCCCGCTACTGCCTAGCGCGGCCGCGCGCGGCCTGCAGCAGCTCAGCGCGCTGTCAGCGCAGCCCGCGCCGAGCCGCGCGCGGCCCTCTGCCTCGGCCACGACCTGCCGCTGATGCGGACCCGCCCTGCAGCTACTATGGCCCCGACGCCGCCGCTGTCGTGCGCCTACTCGGCCGCCGCCCGTCGAGCGCCGGCCCTGCTCGCCCGGTGAGCGCCTGCTCTCCCAGCCTTTGGTGAGCGCCTGCCTGCCTGCCTGACGGCCTGCCTGTCTGCCTGCCTGCCTGCCGGCCTGGCTGCCTGCCTGCCTGCCGGCCTGCCTGCCTGCGCGACTGCCTGCCTGCCTGCCGGCCTGCCTGCCTGCCTGCCGGCCTGCCTGTCTGTCTGCTTGCCTGCCTGCCTGCCTGCCTGCCTGTCTGCCTGCCTGCCTGCCTGCCTGGCTGCCTGCCTGCCTGCCGGCCTGCCTGCCTGCCTGCCTGCTTGCTTGCCTGCCTGCCGCGCCTGCCTTGCCCGCGCTACTGCTGCTGCTACTGCTACTGGCAGGTGGCCAGATGCAGCTCCAGCGACGTTCACGCGAGCCTCTGACGCCCCAGCAGCTTAGTGAGTGGTATACTAGCTGGGGTTGTCGCAGTAGCCGTCGTAGCTGTCGCCCTGGAGCTGGTCAGTTGGGAGCGTCTGGCAGTGGCCAGCTGCAGCTGCAGGGGCGTCCACGTGAGACACTTACGCCCCGGCAGCTCCAGGAGTGGTACGCTCAGTGTAGCAGGTCTACGCGTACAGTTCGCTGCCCGTACGTCATTCGCACAGGTGCTAGGACTGGTCAGCCTTGTGGGACGCTTGGTCACACACAGTCCCGCTGCTTCGCCCGTCTGAGCGACGACTGGCGCACAGTGTTTGGCGACGAGGCTGAGCTCCCTACCTGGCTGGAGCTGCATGGACAGAGGGTAGATATCTTTGCGCTTGACTATGATGCTATTCTCACTGCCATGTATGCATTGCCTACTAGTGCTGATCGTGCCTGTTATCTGTGCGTACCGCCTGACCCTGGTGAGGCTGCTGCTCTAGGTGCTAGTGCGTCTCCTGCTCTAGGTGCTGGTGAGGCTGCTGCTCTCGGTGCTAGTACGTCTACTGCTCTAGGTACTGGTGAGGCCGTGGCTTCAGGTGCTGGTGAGTCTGCTCTCTCTGGTACTGCGCCAACTACGGTCTCGCACACCTTCACCCTTGACTCAGGAGCTTCTCGCTCCTTCTTTCGCGACTGCACCACACTCACGCCGCTTAGTCGGCCAGTTCCAGTCTCCCTGGCGGACCCCTCCGGGGGTCCAGTCCTTGCCCACTACTCCACGGTTCTGCCGTGTCCGGCCGTCCCGTCCGGCTCGCTGTCAGGTCTTTACCTCCCCTCGTTCTCTACGAACTTGGTCAGTGGAGCTGACCTCCAGGGTCGGGAGGTTGACCAGTTCACTCCTGCGAGTCAGCGAGTGACTCACTGTACGTGTGCTAGGACGGGCCGGCACTTGGCCACGTTCACCCGTGCACCTGGCTCGAGTCTGTACACACTGACCACTGAGTCCCCTCAGGTCGCTGCGTCTGCGTCTGCGTCTGGTCAGCTGGCGGCCCCCTGCGAGTGTCGCGCTTTGTCGCACGACACTCTCCTGTGGCACCACTGCCTTGGTCACCCCTCCTTGCCTCGCCTGCGTAGCATGCACTCTCGCTCCCTGGTCTCTGGTCTTCCCAGGTCTCTGCCTGCCCTCCCTCCCTCGCCTGCGCCGCCCTGCATTCCTTGCGTCGAGGGGCGGCAGCGCGCCGCTCCTCACTCCTCCTCGTTTCCTCCCACAGAGGCTCCACTGCAGACGCTCCACCTGGACGTGTGGGGCCCAGCCCGCGTCTAGGGACAGGGCCGCGAGCGGTACTTCCTGCTGGTTGTCGACGACTACACGCGTTACACCACGGTCTTCCCCTTGCAGAGCAAGGGGGACGTCCCTGATGTTTTGATCCCTTGGATCCGCGCTGTTCGTCTCCAGCTCCGCGAGCGGTTCCGGCGGGACTTTCCTGTCCTGCGTCTGCACTCTGACAGAGGTGGTGAGTTCTCCTCTGACCTCTTGGCAGCCTACTGTGCGGAGCACGGCATCACCCAGTCGTTCACGCTTTCGGCCTCTCCACAGCAGAATGGGGTTGCTGAGCGTCGCATTGGCTTAGTCATGGAGGTCGCTCGTACCTCCATGATCCATGCGGCTGCCCCCCATTTCCTGTGGCCGTTTGCGGTCCGGTACGCCGCGCATCAGCTCAACCTCTGGCCCCGTGTCTCCTTGCCGGAGACCTCGCCCACACTGCTGTGGACGGGGAAGGTTGGTGATGCGTCGCGTTTCCGGGTCTGAGGTGCTCGTGCCTTTGTCCGCGATACCACCGCGGACAAGCTCTCCGCCCGCGCTGTTCCCTGTGTCTTCCTTGGCTTTGTCCCTGACGCGCCTGGTTGGCAGTTTTACCATCCCACCTCGCGCCGTGTCTTTGCGTCTCAGGACGTCACGTTCGACGAGTCGGTTCCCTTTTACCGTCTCTTCCCCTACCGCACTGCCCCGCTCCCCCCCCCGCCGCTCTTCCTCGCTCCAGGTGCTCCCCAGGTAGACCCCCTCCCCACTCCTGGTCCTGCTCCTTCAGGTGTTTCTCAGGTAGACCCTCCTCCCTTGACTGCGCCGGTTGAGGTCACTGGTGACTCAGGTCCTACTGAGGGTGGTCCTTCTCGGGGTGCTACTTCTAGGGGTGCTGAGCCTGGGGGTGCGGAGCCTAGGGGTGCTGAGCCTGGGGGTGCTGAGCCTGAGGGTGCGGAGCTTGAGGGTGTGGAGCCTGGTGGTGCTGAGCCTGAGTGTGAGGGGTCTGGGGGTGCTGAGCTTGGCGGTACTGACGCTGGAGGTTCTGGAGCTACTGAGGGTGCTGGCGCTGGAGGTTCGGGAGCTGCTGGAGGGCCTAGTATTGGTGGTGCTGGAGCTGGAGGTTCTGGAGCTGCTGAGGGTGCTCGTGCTGGAGGTTCTGGAGCCGCTGGAGGTACTGGCGCTGAGGGTTCTGAGTCTGCTGTTGCGCGGTCTCCTTGGAGTAGCCGCCTTCGTCCACGTGTGCCTCTCACCCCACAGCAGCTGCAGGACTGGTACGGTCGCCGTCAGCGTCGCGCTGCTGGAGCTAGGAGTGGTGCTGGTCCTTTGTCTACTGGAGGTGCTGGAGTCGCTGAATCTGGAGGTGCTCGTGCTGGAGACACTGAGGCTGGAGACCCTGGGACTGGAGGTGCTGGTTCTGGGGGTGCTACTGCTGGAGACACTGAGGCTGGAGACCCTGGGACTGGAGGTGCTGGGTCTGGGGGTGCTGCTGCTGGAGACACAGAGGTTGGAGACCCTGGGACTGGGGGTGTCGGCTCTGGGACTGGAGCTTCTGGAGCTGCTGGAGGTACGGGAGCTGCTGGAGGTACTGGAGCTGCTGGAGGCACTGGAGCTGCTGGAGCTGCCGGTACTGGTGCAGCTGCGCCGACACGACTGTTCTTCGCTCCGCCGTCTCCGTCGTCTCTGCCGCCGCCTGACTCTGCTCTTCGTCAGGTTGTTACTCTCCCGTCGTCTACTGGTCTTCCGTTACAGACTGGCTCACCGCTACCTGCTCCCTCTCCTTACACTGAGCAGACAGGCAGTCCTGCTACGCGTCGTGAGCCTGCGTCGCGTCCTGTCTCGCCTGTTCGTTCTGGTCGTACCGTTCGTCGTGTCGCTCGTGCGCGTCAGCCGGCTGTCCCCAGCGCACACCTTGTTGTCCGTCGTCCTTCCTCTGCTCCGCAGCCTGTTCCTCTGCCGTCTCCCCCTGCGTCCTCTCTGCCTGCCATTCCGGACCCTGAGTCTGACCGGTTTCGTACTGAGCACCCTACTGTCACGCGTCTCCTAGCCACTGTTGTCACTGACCCGTCGTTTGAGTCTACTGCTGCGTCTGCCTTGGTCGCTGAGCTTGTTGACTTTGCTGCTGCCTGTCGTCTAGACTACGCCGCCAGTCTTGTTGCTGAGTCTGAGTCTGTCTGTCCTCCGTCCGTCGGGGGTGAGTGTGCTCTTAGCACGGACGTCCTTGAGGACAGGCAGGAGGAGTTCCAGTGTCTTGCTGCTGCTTTACCTCATCTTGTGTCCTCACTACTTGCCCCTGAGGGAGACCCGGATGCACCAGACATCCCGACTCCGCGCTCTTACGCAGAGGCGATAGAGGGTCCCTACTCCTCTCAGTGGCAGGCAGCCATGGACGCAGAGATGGCTTCCTGGAAGTCCACATACGTTGACGAGGTTCCCCCACCTGGGGCGAACATCGTCAGTGGCATGTGGATTTTCAGGGTGAAGCGGCCGCCGGGTTCTCCGCCTGTCTTCAAGGCGCGTTACGTGGCTCGAGGCTTCAGTCAGCGAGAGGGAGTTGACTTCTTCCAGACCTTCTCCTCCACCCCGAAGATGACCACTCTTCGGGTGCTGCTGCACGTTGCTACTCACCGTGACTACGAGCTTCACTCTCTTGACTTCAGCACAGCTTTCTTGCAGGGTAGCCTGCACGAGGAGATCTGGCTGCACCGCCCCCCGGGCTTCACTTGGTCGTTCCCTCCTGGTACCCAGTGGAGCCTCCGGCGGCCGGTCTACGGTCTCCGCCAGGCGCCACGTGAGTGGCACGACACACTGAGGACTACGCTTGCGGCTCTTGGGTTTGCGCCTTCTACTGCTGACCCGTCGCTGTTTCTGCGCACCGACACTTCCCTGCCGCCGTTCTACATCCTCGTGTACGTCGACGACTTGGTTTTTGCCACTGCTGACACTGAGGCTCTCGCCCACGTGAAGTCGGAGCTGCAGAAGAGACACACGTGCACATACTTGGGTGAGCTGCGCAGCTACCTTGGCTTGCAGATCACCCGGGAGAGAGCACGCCGCACCATCACCTTGACTCGGTCACACATGGTGCAGCAGGTCCTTCAACGCTTCGGCTTCACCTGGTCTTCAGCACAGGCCACTCCTCTGGCTACAGGTCACACGCTCTCAGCTCCACCTTCGGACGAGTCCGTAGAGCCGAGTGGTCCTTACCCAGAGCTAGTCGGCTGCCTCATGTACCTGATGACTTGCACTCGACCTGACCTTGCGTACCCTCTTGGTCTTCTGGCTCGCTACGTGGCTCCTGGTCGGCACCGACCTGAGCACATGGCTGCTGCTAAGAGGGTACTGCGCTACTTGTGCAGCACATCAGGCATGGGGCTAGTGCTTGGAGTGCTTGGAGGCACTCAGACGCTTCTTGGGTTGACGACCTGGCTACTCAGCGGTCGTCACAGGGTTACACCTTCAGCCTTGGCTCTGGTTCAGTTTCGTGGCGTTCTACACGCTCGTCTTCAGTTCTCAGCTCCAGTTGTGAGGCTGAGATCTACGCCACAGCCATGGCTGCACAGGAGTTACGCTGGCTCACCTACCTGCTGACTGACTTGGGAGAGCAGCCTCGTTCTCCTCCAGTGCTGTACGTCGACAACAAGGCCGCCATTGCCTTGTGTGAGGAGCACAGACTTGCTCTGCGTTACTTCCTGGCTCGAGAGTTGCAGCAGCGAGGCCAGCTTCGTCTTCGTCACGTGGCCACTCGGGCCAACACTGCTGATATATTCACCAAGGCACTTCCGTCTGGTGATCATCAGCGCTTTTGTACCCTGTTAGGCCTTGTGCCTACGTTTCCACACTTGCTGTAGTCTCTGCTTGTACTGTGATCTATATATACATGCATGCCTGCTCTTGCTAGGTAGTCATCACTGTACTGTTATTGCTGCATATATATCTCTGCATGTGGACTGGCCTTGTGGCCCTTTGCTTGTGCTCAGAATGTGTGGTGACGTTGAGATCCACCCTGAGCTTGCTTTGCTTCTCTTGACTGGTCGTTTGACCCCTTGTTCTCCCCCACTTTGCCTATGGGGGTGTGTCAAACATATATGCTGCATATTGTCTAGGCTGTAGTGGGGTAGCCCATATGGGGTACAGCCCAATTAGGGTTTACTACTTGTACTCCTGCATGCTGCTAGTTCATCCATTCCTGTTGCTAGATTCTGACACAAACGCGTCCTTGACTGGTGATTCGGACTTACAGCAGATTCTCACTGGCAAAGCGAAATCTCCTTGACATAGCAAATCTGAGCCTTTACATCACAAGACTTTCGCCCAATCATACCTTAGAAAAATCGCCCTGACACAACAGATTTGCGTTGTCAGAGCACCAGGGCCTCAGATGTCAGCGAAAAAAGGCTGATTTGGTGTCGGAAGGCTGATTTTTCAGACATGGGGATAATGTATTGGCTGATATTTCAGTTTTTTTTTAGTGTATGGGCTGATTTTTCAGCGATTTTTTACAAGTGTGGACTGATTGACCAGCGTACTAATGAGGGTGTAGGCTGAAAAAGCGCTACTACTGATTCTGTAGGAGCCGTGAGTTTCAGCTGTCTAGGTACATTCCCCGTTAGTCACGCCGAAGTTGCCATCTCCCGACGCGTCAATTCGGTGCAGAAGTTCTGCAGCAGAACAACAACGCACAGCAAAGCACCGTCTGCCCCCACGTCAAACACCCCCACCTCACCCCACAGCACATTGAAAATGGTCTCTAGCTTTGTTCAGCCTAAGTTTCCCAGCGATGCTGATTAGTCAGCCTTTTTTTAAACCAGGACACTGATTTTCCAGCTTTTTTTTTTTGTACAACACTGACCTTTCAGCCTAGGCAAAAACGAATATGAGGCCCTGCAGAGCACCACAATTTTCGCCCAATCACAGCAAAATCGCCCTGACATTGCACATTCGCCTTTTTTCGAACCACAAGATTCGCCCTGACACATATATTCGCCCTGTCAGAGCATGTTTTATCGAAAATCCCCTTAGTGTAGCATGTTTCGGTAGAAGACGATTGAAACATTGAATACATTTCCGATGAAACATTGAATACATTGATTTTGAATGATCAGACTTTTTTTTTAAAGACACTCTGACATTTCAGCCTTTTTTTTCTGCATACGAAGTCTGAGATTTTCAGACTAAAATTGTGTACTAGTCTGACGAATCAGACAGGCCAAAAACGAATCTGAGGGCCTGGTATCAGGGTTCTCGCTAGGTTTAGGGGCTGTCTGACAGTACCCTGAAAAATTTTCCCCGTCTTAGGCTCGGACGACGAAACTTCCGTGGTCTGCATTATAAGCTGAAATAATTTTCCTAGTCTGATAAACAAGACGAAAAAAAAATTCCAGTGAAAAGTCACATGCCAGCGAGGCTGCTACATAAGACACGCGTAATGAATGCGCGTGCTGTTACAGGGCAGCAAATGGCTGTACCTGTGGTGGTCCTATCCTCTGGTCCACTGGGCATATGGCCTAGTGGGTCAAGATGTCGGTTTCAGACGAAACCGAACTCGATATCTGTGTATTCAGATTAAGAATTCTACACGGTCTGGAAAATCATACGAACCTAAAACGCTAATCTTACTGATCAGATGAGAACAAACACAGATTCTTAGGAAGCAGATGAATACAAAAAAACAAGTCTTAAACTCAGACCATCAGACCAAATTGGTCTGATAACGAGAACCCTGATAGGTATGGATCCCTTCTCAGTGAAGTGTGGATGTACTGTTCACGCTTGCTTTGCATTGACCTTTTTTTGCTATGAGGCTGCCTCAGATCTGTTTGGTGTACCGGTAGTTGAGCGTGTTTGAGGTATATGACTTCTAAGTGTGATCTAAGTGTGTATACACATTGGTGTACCAGGCGTGAATAGAATATCCAATATCAGGTATGTTTTGGACGACACTCGGGTGGTGTTGCGACAAGGACGGCTCCGTGAGGAAAATATGCCATTCGTAACCATCATGTGAGTCGAAAGCATATTTGGTAAAAAAATAAAGGGTACGGTAACTGTAAAGGGTGCTTTGACGCGACTGATAAAGCGTTTCACGGAATCAGTCACAATCAACTGGTAAAAAAAAACGCGAATGGTCACAGATGAAATTCCCGCCAAAACGAAACGAAACCCAAAAAGAACCTGGATGCTTTTTCGGAGTATCAACCCTAAACACCATTTCGCCAGGTGTTTAGGGTTGATCCGTTCCCAAACCGCATCCGATTCCGATTGGGTTTTAGTTTTTTTACAAGTTAGCAGATTGGTTGGGCGCGAGCGGGAATTTTGTTGAGTTTCAAGTTTTTTTGGCGGGAGTTACATGTGTGACCATTCGCGTGATTTTTTACCTGTTGTTAGTGACTGAATCCGTGACCCCACTTACCAAACCCGTCAGGAAACCCGATACAGTGACCGAACGCGTTTTCTTTTTATCATTTACGTTATCGAGTCCCGAGTTGGTTACTTTTGACATATTTTCCCCGGCTCCGGGGGGTGAAGTCGAAGCATCTCATGCGACCAGACTCGCCCCACGAAATGGTTGCAGCTGTGCGACGCACGGCATGGGACTGCTCGGTCGTGCTGACGGAAACCATGTCGTGCGATCGATGCGAAAATCCAAGAATTTGAATGTTCGAACCAGGAGAAGAAAGCCCATTCCAACCGTTTTTGACCGAGTCCCGTCACCCATTCACCACATCATATTTGAACCCGACAATCCAAGGTCATCCCCGTTTTTCGTGCTCGCCAGTGGTGATCTCTCTTGTCAGTGCGTGGGTTCGCCTTTCACAATCTCTTTAGGCGAACAATCTCGTACCTCTCTAGAACATCGGCTCGGCGCGCACCTAGGTTAGGCAACCATGAACCAGTACCCGTCGGGGGGCTCGTACGGCTACCAGAGCGCGGACGGCGCAACTGGCGCGGCGTCGCTCCCCGCGTCGACGACGGATAAGATCCAGCTGCCGTGCGCGCACTGCCATGCCGTGCTCAGCGTGCCCGTCGGCCTATCGCGCTTCCAGTGCCCGCGCTGCTCCTCGCACCTCTCCGTCGACCATGCGAAGCTCGCCGCGTACATGCGATCGCTTAACGAAATGGCGGCGTCGCTCGGCGGTAACACCGGCGGGAGTAATGCGGGAGCTCAGTCAGCGGCATCTGCCGCCGCTGCCGCTCGCGGCACCGGGAATGCCGGTGCGGGTGCTTCCGCTGGCGCTTCCGCTTATCCCGGAGCAGCGCAACGAAGCACAGCGCAGTACTATCAGCAACAGCATCAGCAGCAACATCAGCAGCAGCAGGCTTCCCAGATGATGCTGTCGTCTCACGCCCCTCACGGCTCCGCACCAGGCGCGGCAACGGCTGCCGGTGCAGCAGCTGCGGCTGCGGCTGCGGCTGCGGCTGCGGCTGCGGCTGCGGCGGAAAGCGAGCAGGCGAAGAGGCGGAGAGTGGATGGGCTAGGTATGCGCTACTACGCCGCGTCCACACCTAGCATGGGCGGGGATGGGGGAATGGGCGCGTATGGGCCCGCGGGGATGGGGGGGTTGCCCGGGGCGGTGGGAAGCCTGGCGGGGCTGGGCGGGGGAATGGCGGGGGAGGGGTTGCGCGCGGCGCAAGCGGAGGTGGATGCGACTTTGCGGCGCATGATGACGGGTGGAAGGGCGGGCGGGGCGACGGCGGGGGAGGAGGCGAGGCAGGTGGAGGCAGACGCGAAAGAGGTGCGAGCGTGTGAGCCGTGCGTGCGGGCCGTGTGTGAGTACGCGATGTGCTGCTGCCGATACCTACGATGTGCAGGAGAGTGTGCTGTCGCTATTGCCCTTGTCAGTGGTCTCTCCGGGCAGCATATGCTGACTTGGTTTCTTTCCTCTAAACTCGGCTGTGCTGTCCTTGCTGCATGCGCCACGGCACGTGCTATGGTGTGTGTGGCATCGTGCATGCGTCTGGGCCTGGGTGTGCCATACTGCGTGTGCTGTACTGCGTGTGCATGGCGCGCAGGCGTTGATTCAAGACGAGGAGGACGAAGAAGGCGTGGCGGGAGAGACCTTCGCGGCTTACGTGAGTCATCTGCGCCATGCGCTAACCGCTGCTCCCCACCCGCATCCTTCATCCCTCGTCCCTCGTCCTCGTCCCACTCTCCGCGCACGACCTTTGTTCATCGCACCTCTCACTCCGTTCTCCCGATGCCCCTTCCTCACAACCGCCTATCTCCGGCCCTCACACCCACCTGCGCTCACTTCTTACCCTCCTCCCACCCCACCCTCTACCTTCTCTGTGTCCCCCCGCCATTTGGCTTCCCCAGCGTCCCTGGCACCATCCTCTCCTCTTCCTTCCACCACCTATGCCTCTCGCAACAATGCCTAAGGATCGAGCCCACCATACTCTCTCCATCCTCCCCTCTCTGCCCCCTACGCCTCTACCCCGCTCCTTACCACCTCAAACCCATCCGCTTCCCCTCTCTCCTTATCCTACCTTTCCCTCTCTTTTACCCTCCTCCCTCTTTCTCCACACTCGTTCTCCCGCCAGCGCCCTGCGAAGCTATCTGTGGGCCGCCCACACCCAGACCCCGTGGTGGAGACTGCCTCGCTGGCAGGCGTGCAGCCGCCCGATATCGATCCGTCCAAGCTGGCGCTGCTGACGGGGCAGGATGACGTGGCGGCTAATGCGCTGTCGTCCCTGCAGTTGGAAACGATCTGTTATGCCAGCCAGGTGAGGAGGCTGGGGGAATGGAGTGGCGGATTGGCCGGAAGGGAGGGGGAGAGAGGGGGGGGGGGGAGAGTTGATGGGGTAGGATGTAATGGTGTAGAATGTAGTGGGAGGTGATGTAGTGGGGTGGGTGAGCTTACATGAGTGCCCTAAATACGCCTCATTTCCACACGCCTCAAGCATCCGTGCACCCGCTATGCCGCACCTCACAACCACTCCGCACCTCTTTCCACTCACGCCTCCCTCCACGCACGTTTCTCTCCCCTCTCCCCCTCTCTTCCTCCCCTCCCCCACCCCTCCCCCCCACCTCTCTCCCGCCCATCCCCCACGGTCCTCCCACGTGGCAGCGGCACAGGCAGCTGCTGCCAGGGAACGTGCGCGCGGGGTTCTTTCTGGGGGACGGTGCGGGCGTGGGCAAGGGGCGCACCGTGGCAGGCATCATACGAGAGAACTGGCACCAAGGCCGACGCCGCGCACTGTGAGAAGGGGCTGAGCGGGTGGGAGTGGGGAGGGGGAGGGAGTGCTCGTGAGGCTCTTCAGAAACGGGCGCACAGTGACAGCATTGAAGCTATTTAGGGAAATATGCACCAAGGTTTGCCGTTCTTGCTGTGAAGGGGAGGGTTGGGTGGATGTAGGGGGAAGGGGTTTGGGAGAGAGAAAAGGGAGGAAGGGACCATGAAGGGGGTTGTTGAGGGGGATGGTCGGGGTGAGTATGGGAGGCAGTGGTGCTGCTGGTACCTGTCCTTGCATTGTGCTCCATCCTGCCCAATAGCCCCACCCACCCACCAACCCCAGCACTTCCTTCCCCCCCTTTCCCTCTTCCCCTTCCCCCATTCCCCTGTTCCCATTCCTCCTTCCCCCCCCACCCCGCGCCCCTCCACTTCCCCTTCCCCTGCGCGCATGCCCATCACCACACCGCCTGTCGTCACCATGAACCCTTCAGGTGGATATCCATAGGCCCTGATCTACGATTCGACGCCAGGAGGGATCTCGATGACATCGGTGCAACTGACATTCCAGGTGTGATCCAGCGAGACCCCCCCCCCCCCCAACCCACCCTCACCCATGCCCACCGTACACCACCTCGCTCTCCCTCTCTCCATCCCACCTTCGGATTCTTCTCTCCTGTCAACAATCGTGTCCAAGCTGCTTGATATGTTCGTTGTTCACCGGGAGGGATGCCTACCTTTCTTGAAGTCAATGTATCTTATCCTGACCTCTCCATATTCCCTTCCCCCTCTATTTTCTGCTCTTCGCCCTCAGCTGCTCACTCTCCCCTCTCCTCTGCCCCTTTGCTTGCCCTCCTTCCCTCTCTTCACTCTGCCACAACCCACCCACTTCCCGTTGACGTTTCCCCGTGGTTGCCCTTGTGCCCTTGTGCCCTTGTGCCCTTGTGATTTCCCCATCCACAACTCATCTGTGTCGCGGCAACACTCATCACCGCCTCATGTGAACGCCGCTGCAATGCTTGAATGACCGTGCCGTGCCGTGCCGTGCGTGTGTGTGGCCACGCCAGTGCACGCGCTCAACAAGCTGCCCTACGGCAAGCTCGACTCCAAGGCCAACAAGGTCTGCTGTCTTGGGGGATGGGCGCTGGGGGATGGGCGCTGGGGGATGGGCGCTGGGGGGATGGGCGCTGGGGGATGGGCGCTGGGGGATGGGCGCTGGGGGATGGGCGCTGGGGGATGGGCGCTGGGGGATGGGCGCTGGGGGATGGGCGCTGGGGGATGGGCGCTGGGGGGATGGGCGCTGGGGGGATGGGCGCTGGGGGGATGGGCGCTGGGGGGCATGGTGGGTGGGGGGTGGTGGGGGGTGGTGGGGGGTGGTGGGTGGGTGGGGAGTGGAGCCCCGACGCCCATCCTCACCATCACCCCTTCCCTTCCGATCACAATCCCCTTGGGCGTCAGTTTAAGGAGGGCGTGTTGTTCCTGACGTAAATCATGCTCATCACCATCCCCCTTCTATTCTCCTCCCATCACCATTCCCTCTTGTTCTCTTCTCTCCCTTCATCACCCATCACCATTCCTCCCCAACACCCCGTTCCTCCCGACGCCCATCATACCCTCCCCCCTTCCTTTCCACCCCGGCGATTTTAAATCAAGTAGGGCGTGCTGTTCCTGACATACAGCACGCTCATCACCATTCCACACTCAAACCCTTCTCCCATCATCCATCAAACCCTCTCCCCCCTCCCTCCCCCAGCGATTTTAGATCAAGGAGGGCGTGTTGTTCCTGACGTACAGCACGCTCATCACCATTCCCCTCTCACACCCTTCACCTATCACCCATCCGTCCCCCCTCTGCCGCTCCTTCTCCTCCCTTCCCCCCCTGCGCGCGCAGATCAAGGAGGGCGTGCTGTTCCTGACGTACAGCATGCTCATCACCATCTTCCCTACAACCCTCTCCTCCCACACCCCGCTCCGCCATCACCCCACCCCATCCTTCTCTTGCAGATCAAGGAGGGCGTGTTGTTCCTGACGTACAGCACGCTCATCGCGTCGGCTGAGAACCGCCGGTCGCGCCTGCAGCAGATCACCCAGTGGTGCACGCCGGGCTTCGATGGCGCCATTATCTTCGATGAGGTGTGCATGGGGGGAAGGGGGGAGGGAGGGTGGACAGATTCTAAAAGGGGAGGGAGGGGTGGGTGGAGAGGGAGAAGTGGCAGCTCTGGGCTGCAGCAGATCATGCAGTGGCTTCGATGGCACCGTTATCTTCGATGAGGTGGGGAGAACGGGGAAGGGAGGGATGGAGGCAGGGGGGAATGGAGGGAGAGGGGGAGGTAGGAAGGGAGAGGGATGGTTATGACTGGGTGGGGGGAAGAATGGAGAAGCCTCATTCCATTTGCATGTGCGCTATTCGGGCTGCTGTGCATCCTCACCTCAACATTCTTAGCTTCCCTCATCATCCACACCCCCTTTTTCCCTATTCATCTACTCCTCCCTTGCTTGCTGTGCGCGTGTTCTCCCGTGCGTGTGCGCGCGCGCGCACGCGTGTGTGCATGTGCGTGTGCGTGCGCGTTTGCATGTGCGTGTGTGTGCGCGTTTGCGTGTGCATGTGCATGTGTGTGTGCGTGTGTGCGCGTGTGTGTGAGCGTGCATTTATGCTCACGCCAGTGTCACAAGGCCAAGAACCTGGTGCCGGAGTCAGGCGGCAACGCCACGCGCACAGGCGAGGCAGTCATGGAGCTGCAGGTACGATGGTGAAGGGGGGGGGTCGATCGGAGGAAGTGGGGGGAGAGAGAGTGGGTAGGGTAGGATGGGGATAGATGTGATGGGGGTCACGTGTGATACAAGGTGGGGCGGGGCGATTTTGGGAGAGAGGGAGATTGAGCAGAGAGGATAGGGGTGGTGTGTGGGTCTCGCATGCTGTGTGCTACAGGCCTTTAGTAGAGAGAGCTCCCGTCTCTGATTGCTGCTTCCCTCATTCTCTCCCACACGCCTTCTCCCCTCCTCGCCCCTCGTTCCCTCCCTACACCTCGCCACTCCCTTGCACCCTTCCCTGCTCGCTTCTCATGCACGCCCCGCGCTCCCTCCGCCCCACCCTCTGCCCGTTTGTTACATACAACGTGCGTGTAGTGTACTGCCGTGCAACGGGCGAGAGAACCATTAAATAAAACCCCATTGCACTTGCACCTCTTCCATTCCCCGTCCTCCCCATGCTCGTCCCTGCATCCCTCCGCCCGTTACCGCCTCCCTCGCCGCCCTGGCAGGCGAAGCTACCGAACGCGCGGGTGGTGTACTGCAGTGCAACGGGGGCATCGGAGCCGCGGCACGTGGGGTACATGACACGCCTGGGGCTGTGGGGCGATGGCACGCCCTTCCTCAACTTCCAACACTTCCTCGGTGCATGCCATTGCCATCACTCGCTTGCTCACTCGCTCACTTGCTCACTCACTCCCCCGCTCACTCTCTTACTCTCTCACTCACTGCTGCATTTACACACATATCACTGTAACGTACACTTTGGCCCCCTCATCCTCATCCCCTGGAACGTGCTTCCACCGCTATCTCTACTGCCAATCGTCAGCACGTGCTCCGCCGGTGCCTATAAACTCTCAGCACAGGATCCTCCTTGACGTGCCTTGCCCTCTCCGACCCCTGCTGTGGCCATGTTCCGCCGGTGCTGCTGCAGGCACGATTGACAAGCGGGGAGTGGGAGCACTGGAGCTCATGGCAATGGACATGAAAGCCCGGTCAGTGCTCTGCCCATGCCCATGCCCATGCCCATGCACCAAGCTACCCTATGCATCCAATTCACATAGCTACCCCCCCCTCCCTGCCTCCATGCACTCTCCTGTCATTCCCTCACATCTCTCTCCCACCTACCCCTGCCTGCCTCTCCACCCCCACCCCATTCCGCCTGCAACTCCACCGTTCCGTCCTCCCCTTCCCCCCTCTTTCCCTCCCCAAACGGCAGGGGCATGTACGTGTGTCGCACGCTGAGCTTCGACGGGGCGGAGTTCGAGGTGGTGCACGTGCCACTGGAGCCCAGCATGCAGGTGAGCCCAGCATGCAGGTGAGCCCAGCATGCAGGTGAGCCACGCGGGCGGAAGGGGGCGGGTTGGCTGGTGGGGAGGCTGGATGCATGTGGGCATCATGCTCTGACCGTCAGCCCACGACTATGAGCATCTGCTTGTTGCCTGCTGCGCAGTCGGATTGCAGTGCGTCTGCATTCGCCAGTGCTTGGTCTCTGCATTCGCCGGTGGTTGGTCTCTGCATTCACGTGTCCATGTCAGCATCAAAGGGGGACCTTTATGCTGTGCCCATCACCCGCGTTTCCTCCTCCCCCTCCCCACTGCTTCCCCCTCTTCCTATCTCTCCCTCCCCTCCCCCCACCTTCAGGAGATGTACAGCGCAGCTATGGGCGGAGCTGAGGGCGGATATGATAGCGGCACCTCTCGCTTCACGTCTTCCCCCCCCCTCCTCTCCCTCCTCTCCCCCCCCCCGCCTCTCCCTCCTCTCCCTCCTCTCCCTCCTCTCCCTCCTCTCCCTCCTCTCCCCCCTCTTCCCCTTCCCCGTTCCCCCCCCTCCACCAGGAGATGTATTCCAAGGCGGCGCAGCTATGGGCGGAGCTGAGGGCGGACATGATAGCGGCGTCGCTGGCGCTGTCCCCCGCACAGAGCGCCTCTGCCTCCGACTCCTCCAAGCGCTCCTCCGCCAACGCTGTCTGGCGCACCTTCTGGGCCGCGCACCAGGTGCTGGGGGGGTAGGGGCGGGAGGGGAGAAGGTGGGGGGGAGGATGAGAAGTAGGATGGAGGATGAGATGGATGGGTCATGCACAAAGAAAGGCTATGGTGTCCCGCTTGTGGGCCTTCACCTGTCAGATCACAAGTGCACCACGCCTCTGCCTCCGACCCCTCCAAGCGTTCCTCCGCCAATGCTGTCTGGCGCACCTTCTGGGCCGCGCACCAGGTGCTGGGGGGGAGAAGGGGATGGGGGACGGGGGGTGGGGTAGGATGGAGGATGGGATGGGAAGAAGGATGGGAGCAGGCTTGTTGTGGGAGTGGGAGTAGGATGGGGGATGAGATGGGGGATGGGATGGGGGATGAGATGGGGGATGAGATGGGGGATGAGGTGGGGGATGGGATGGGGGATGAGGTGGGGGATGAGATGGGGGATGAGATGGGGGATGAGATGGGGGATGAGATGGGGGATAAGATGGCGGATGAGATGGGGGATAAGGTGGGACATGCAGCAAGGCGTCTTGTGGTGTTCTGTTCTGCTAATGGGCCTTTTCCACAAAACCCTTCCTCCCATTCTCCCTTCTCCCACCAAAACACCTTACTGCCATGTACTGTCTCCTTCCATCTGCTTCTTCCCAACGCACACCTGCACTCCTGTCCCACATATCGCCCCTCCCCTCCCCTCTCTTCCCTCCCTCTTCTGCCACCTCTCGCCTCATCTTCCCTCCCTGCACTCGCCTCCCTCCTTCTCTCCCATCTCCAGCATTTCTTCCGTCATCTGTGCATCAGCGCCAAGGTGCCAGCAGCGCTACGCATGGCTTTGACGTGCCTCAATCACCTCTTCCCCCCTCCTCCCCCCTCCTCTCCCCCCGCTCTCCGCCTCTCCCCCTGTCCCCCTCTCCCCCTCTCCCCCTTCTCCCCCTCCCCCTTTCTACCAGCATTTCTTCCGCCATCTGTGCATCAGCGCCAAGGTGCCAGCAGCGGTGCGCATGGCTTTGACGTGCTTCAATCACCTCTTCCCCCCTCCTCTCCCCCCCTCCCCTTCTTTCCCGCTCCCCTTCTCCCCGTCTCCCCCTCCCCCTTCTGTCTACCAGCGTTTCTTCCGCCATCTGTGCATCAGCGCCAAGGTGCCAGCAGCGGTGCGCATGACACAGCAGGCCATAGCGGAGGGCAAGTGCGTGGTCATCGGCCTGCAGAGCACCGGCGAGGCCCGCACCGACGAGGCTGTTGCTAAGCTGGTATGTGGGGGAAGGGAGAGGCGATGCTGTGCATGGGTGCTTGAATGTGGGGACGAGAGCGTGGGGGGGAGGAGGGGGGTTGGGGAAGATGGCAGCAGGCAATAACGGAGGGGGCAAGTGCGGAGGGCAAGTGTGTGGTCACTTGCCCTCTGCACTTGCCCCCTCGGGCTGCAGAGCACCGGCGAGGCCAGGACCAATGAGGCTGTTGCTTAACTGGTGCGGCGGGGAAGAGTGGGGGAAGGAGGGGGAGGGTGGGGGAGGGAGGGGGTGCTGTGCATGGGTGCTTGGTGGGGATGGGGAGGGGGGTAGGTAGGCTCCAGCATGCACAGCTCTGCCCATGATCCATCACTCTTCCACTCCTCGCCCTTTCTCCATCGCCCTTTCTCCGCCCTTCCCATCTCCTCGCCCACCCTCCCCCGCTGGTTCCTCTTCTCCTATCTGCCCTCATCGTCCCTTTGCGCCTCACCGCAGGGCACGGAGATGGATGACTTTGTGAGCGGGCCCAGGGAGATTCTGCTCAAGCTCGTGGAGGACTGAGACCTATGTGACTTCTGCGTCCGAATCAAACCCTCCCCCCCATCGCCCCTCATGTCGCCCTGCGTTGCCCCTCCAGGGCACGGAGATGGATGACTTTGTGAGTGGCCCCAGGGAGATCCTGCTCAAGCTCGTGGAGGAGACGTACCCGCTGCCCCCGCCACCAGCGCTGCCCAAAGGTCTGCTGCGTCCCTGCCCTGCTGCGCCCCTCCCCCTGCCGCACCCTCCCCCTGCCGCGCCTTCCCCCTGCCACACCCTCCCCCTGCCGGGCCCTTGCCCTGCCGGGCCCTTGCCCTGCTGTGCCCTGACATTCCATTCCCCGCTCTGCTATGCAATGCCCTGCCCCATACCAATCCCTGTCCCATGCCATACTGTGTCCCATGGAATGCCCTGCTAAGTCTGGCTGTGCCATCCTCCCACCTTCGTTCATGCTTGTGAGCTTGTCTAGTTTCACTCTCCATGGGCCTCGATTGTGCTCTTCTTGCCACTTATACCACCAATCCAGCACTCCATCCTCATCACCCACCACTCTGCACCGCACTGCACCCGCTTGCTACCCCATGCAGAGGGCGACGATCTCAAAAAGGAGAAGGAGAGGGAGGAGAGGGGCGTAAGCCGGGGCGTGTCCGTGTCGCAGCGGGGGAGGGTGCGGCGAGCTGTCAAGTACGAGAGCGATGAGAGCGAGGAGGATGGGGACGAGGACTTTGATGGTGAGGCATGGGGAAGGTGGTTGTGGGAGTGAGGTGGGAAGGGAGGTGGGAGGGATCTGGGAGGGAGGTGAGGGCTTGAAGGGTGGAGAGGGTTTAGATTAGGCGAGAGTGGATGTGGTGGGCTGGAAAGCAGTTCGTGTGACCACATCAACGAGTCACACCTGGTGTCAGTGGCAGCCTGGCAGGGTTGTAAGGCAATTAGGCGTGACTCACAGCATCCCCTCACTCCCTCACTCCCTTAACCTCACCCTCTCACTCTTAACCCGCCGCACCCGCTGCTCTCCCACTCCATTACCCCTCTACGTCCTCTTGTCTCTCCTCTCTGGCAGCGGCATCGGAGACATCGTCGGACGACAGTGACTTTCACGGGGACATCTGCCAGATCTGCCACGACGAGGAGGTATGTCTGCCACGACGAGGAGGTATGTCTGCCACGACGAGGAGGTATGTCTGCCACGACGAGGAGGTATGTCTCACCTCGTCCACACCACAAAACATCCCTCTTCGCGCCCACACCCACCCACCCACCACCCACCCAACCGCTGCTCGCATTTCTGGCTCATTTTGACCGCGTCTGAATTTGTTGTTGCTCATACATGCCCTTCTCCCCACCCTCTTCCCTCCCTCCCTTCCCCCCTTCCTCCCTCCCGTCCCCTTCTCTCCCTCCTTCCTCCCATCATTCCAGCTGTCTGGGTCGCTGGTGGCATGTGCTGTGTGCTCACGTGTTGGCCACGTGGCATGCTTTGAGAGGCACACCGGCAGAAGCGGTGGTTACCACCCCTGGTTGGCTGACGCCCCCCGAGGCCACGTCAGCACCAGGTCAGCAGCAGTCAGCGAGCGGCTGGCGGCGGGAACAAGGAACCGAGGAGGTGACGTGGCGAGCCCGATAGACCTGGGAGATGATGACGTGGATGAGGAGGAGGAGGATGCAAGGGAGGAGGCAGAGGAGGGGAGTGGGGATGAGGGGAGGAAAACGAAGGGCAGGAAGGCGGGAGGGAGCAGCAGCGGGAGCGAAGGGGGGAGCAGCGGGCAAGAGGAGGAGGAGGGGGAGGCGCAGGTGCCGTGGCTGTGTGGGGAGTGTGACAAGACAACGAGTGAGATCCGCATGGAGAGAGAGACTTACCTCACTGAGATGGAAGCCAGGTCAGTGCTTGCACGATTGCACAAGGGGTTTTATGGGCTCAGTACTTTGAGTTTCGGGTTTGTTCGAGATACGAAGTTTTACAGGCATGGCATGGCAGGGTGGGGAGGGCTGGGCAGGGCAGGGCAGAGCAGAGCGCAGCAGGGCATGGCAGGGCGTGACGTGGCATGGCATGGCAGGGTATGGCAGGAACATGTCAGTCAACTCTATTCCTGAAAATATACATGTGTTCTCTCTCCCACACATGCTCACCCCATTCGCTCTGTCCATTTTGACCGAGCCACCAGAGCATTCCCCCTCTCGTTTGAGTTGACTCGAAAGTCAACGTTTCTACGGAGCCACCAGAGCATTCCACCTCTCGGTTCAATCGCCCCCCATCAGGTACAACACGGCAGTGGCTCGCAAGGCCGAGATCATGGAAGCCATAAAGAAGCTTCCTCTGCCCAACAACCCTTTGGATGAGCTCATAGACAAGGTGAGTGGGAGTGGGAGTGTGAGGGTGAGAGATTCAGACGGCCATTCACTCGTTGCAAGGCTCATCACCGTGTTTCATCACCCACTGGGACTCAGGGAGCAGCAGCTCAGATTCACTGCGTTTCATCACCGATTTATTCTATTAGATGAAAGGTCGGTGGATACCTGCCTCTCTTGTTGTGTCTCGGCGCTGGTATGCGACAAGTCTTGGCTGCTTCCTGCCGCCACTACTACTAGTACTACTACTATTCACGGATAATTGGTTTGTTCAGTGACTTGCTACTGATGATTTCCACTGCGCGCTGATGATTAAGGGCTTTCTGTGTTGGTGTGTAACTGTGGGTGTGTGGGTGTGGGTGTGCGAGTGACTGGTTATGTGAATGTGCGTGGATCTGTGGGTGTGTGGCGGTGTGTGGCGGTGTGTGGCGGTGTGTGGCGGTGTGTGGCGGTGTGTGGCGGCGTGTCTGCATGTGCATGGGGGCAGCTGGGCGGGCCAGAGGCAGTGGCGGAGATGACAGGGCGGAGGGGCATGCTGGTGCGCACGAGCACGGGGGGAGGCAAGGGCACTGTCAGCTACCAGGCCAGGAACTCGTGAGTCCTGCACTGCCATGCATTGCAGTGTGACTTCACGCATTTGTGAACTCGTGAGTCCTGCACTGCCATGCATTGCAGTGTGACTTCACGCATTTGTGAACTCGTGAGTCCTGCACTGCCATGCATTGCAGTGTGACTTCACGCATTTGTGAACTCGTGAGTCCTGCACTGCCATGCATTGCAGTGTGACTTCACGCATTTGTGAACTCGTGAGTCCTGCACTGCCATGCATTGCAGTGTGACTTCACGCATTTGTGAACTCGTGAGTCCTGCACAGCCATGCATTGCAGTGTGACTTCACGCATTTGTGAACTCGTGAGTCCTGCACTGCCATGCATTGCAGTGTGACTTCACGCATTTGTGAACTCGTGAGTCCTGCACTGCCATGCATTGCAGTGTGACTTCACGCATTTGTGAACTCGTGAGTCCTGCACTGCCATGCATTGCAGTGTGACTTCACGCATTTGTGAACTCGTGAGTCCTGCACTGCCATGCATTGCAGTGTGACTTCACGCATTTGTGAACTCGTGAGTCCTGCACTGCCATGCATTGCAGTGTGACTTCACGCATTTGTGAACTCGTGAGTCCTGCACTGCCATGCATTGCAGTGTGACTTCACGCATTTGTGAACTCGTGAGTCCTGCACTGCCATGCATTGCAGTGTGACTTCACGCATTTGTGAACTCGTGAGTCCTGCACTGCCATGCATTGCAGTGTGACTTCACGCATTTGTGAACTCGTGAGTCCTGCACTGCCATGCATTGCAGTGTGACTTCACGCATTTGTGAACTCGTGAGTCCTGCACTGCCATGCATTGCAGTGTGACTTCACGCATTTGTGAACTCGTGAGTCCTGCACTGCCATGCATTGCAGTGTGACTTCACGCATTTGTGAACTCGTGAGTCCTGCACTGCCATGCATTGCAGTGTGACTTCACGCATTTGTGAACTCGTGAGTCCTGCACTGCCATGCATTGCAGTGTGACTTCACGCATTTGTGAACTCGTGAGTCCTGCACTGCCATGCATTGCACTGTGACGTAACTATACGCATGTGTGAACTCGTGAGCGTGTGAGTCATGTCCGTGCAATGCAATGCACTTCGATGCCTGTCACGTTTTCATGTACGCATCGCTTGTCTTGCTCGTGCTGCTGTTGCTGTGCACTGGTCCCACACTCCACTCCACCCCACTCCACCCCACTCTACCGCACTCCACTCCGCCCATACCTCGCAGCAAGGACGTGGCAGCGGAGATGGTGAACATGAGGGAGAAGGCGCTGTTTATGGCGGGGGACAAGCTCATCGCCATCATCTCCGAGGCCGCCAGCGCTGGCATCTCCCTGCAGGCCGACCGCCGTGCCAAGAACCAGGTGCGCTGCGCTGCTAGGTAGGTGTGTCTTGAATCGACAACCAGGTGCGATGCACGACATGTGGCATGTCTGGCAGGCCATTAGCATGGCGTTGTTGCGTTCATCTCCTGACATCTGTTTCGCCTTGCGTGTGACTCACCTCACCTTACCTCACCTCACCCACCCGCTCATGTGTGATGATTGCATCTCGTTCATGCACGCTCTGTCTTTTACCAGCAGTTCGAAGTTGACTCCTAGTTGACCTTCAAAGTCCCCTCCAATCCTCCCCCCCTCCCCGTTGCAGCGGCGGCGGGTGCACATAACGGTGGAGCTGCCATGGAGTGCCGACCGGGCCATCCAGCAGTTTGGCCGCTCCCACCGCTCCAACCAGGCCAGCGCGCCTCAGTACAGGTGGGCGGTAGTGCATGCACGTGGGCGCTAGTGGGGATGGGCGGCAGTGCAAATGGCCGGCGGTGCAAATGGCCGGCAGTGCAGAGGGGCTGGTAGATGGGTAAGAGTGGCAGGGCCTGCAGTCCTCACCATCTCACCTGCATATCCCTGCCTTCACCTTGTTGTCCAAAGGCCGCATCTCCCAGAAGTAGAACCTATAGCAGCTCGCCTCTGCCCTCACCTTCTCTGTCCACACATCAGTGCCTGTTAAGCTGACTCGGCTTCTCTTCCACCTCCCCTCACTCCCCTCACTCCTCTCACCCCCCCTCGAGCCCCCTCCACCCCTGCACACGCCTCTTCCCCCTCTCAACCCTAACTCCCCGTACCACCTTGCCTCTCACGGCCACCCCTTGGCAGGTTGCTATTCACGGAGCTGGGGGGTGAGAAGCGGTTTGCCTCGGTGGTGGCCAAGCGTCTGGAGTCACTGGGAGCCCTCACACAGGGGGACCGTAGGTATGTGCGTTCGTGCGGGTACGTGCGTGCGTGCAGTTATGTGTGTTCGTGCAGGTATGTGTGTTCGTTTTCTGCCTCACTCATGCATCCCTTCCTCCCCTCCCTCTCCTTCCCACCCCTTCCTCCCTCCACCTCCTCCCCTTTCAGAATAGTTGAACTATTCTGCTTGCCACTCGAACCTGCTTCCTTAAGCAACCCTGCCCTGCGAATGCACCAACCTTGCTCCTTACCACCAGCCTCATCCCCACACCCTCCTCGCCCCCCGCCCTGCTACCCCCAGGGTGGGTCGTTCCTTCTCAGCATTCAACCCCGAAGGAGTGTGGGCCAACCATTGAGTCTACTTAAATCCCACCACTCTCTCCCTCTCCCTCTCACCTAACCCAGGCCAAGCTCGTCACTTGAACGGGCCTGCACATGCTGACCTCCGCAACTCTTATCCCCACACCCCGTCTCCCCTCCCCCTCCCCCTCCCCCTCCCCCTCCCCCTCCCCCCAGGGCGGGTCCCTCCCTGTCAGCATTCAACTACGAGGGCGTGTGGGGCAAGCGAGCCCTTCCCACCATGTACCGATGCATCATGGATAACATGCCCGCCCCTGCACTGCCCCACTGCCCGGCTGCTCGCCCCATGCTGCTAGCCTGCCCACCCCTATACCCCCTTTTAGGCAACCCTGCACATGCTGACCTTGGTGCCTTTTCAACTCTCATCCCCACACCTTGTTTCCCCTTCCCCTCCTCCTCCCCCTTTCCCCAGGGCGGGTCCGTCTCTCTCAGCTTTCAATTATGAGGGAATCTGGGGCAAGCGAGCCCTCTCCACCATGTACCGATGCATCATGGATAACATGCCCGCCCCCGCACCTCCCCCTGGCTGCCCGGAAAAGTTTGACGATGCCTGGGTGAAGTTCTACCAGGCTGCCCGGGCTGCCCTGATTATTGTTGGCATCGTCAGAGACCCGACTTTCAACACATGTGAGTGGAAATACAAGTATGCGGGCACATGAGCGTAAATCAAAGTCTGCCGGAGTGAGTGTGAATCCAATCCATGTGTGCCGACCAGGCTTGTGTGATATGGACAGGACATGCCTTGTATGTGTCCATCCTGTACTGAGGCGATTTTCTAGTCGATTCAAAAACTCGTATATGTGTCCATCTCGTAGAAATAGAAATCACTCTTGACTATTCTCAAAAGTCATTTTAACATGCTGTATATGTGTCCATCATGTATTGGTGCCTGCAAATACACACCTTCACATGGCAGCATGCGACCAATTTTCGACTACATCCCCATCTCCTTCACCTCCACCACGTATTGTCCTCTCTCCCTCCATCTCCCCTTTTCCGCCTCTCTTTCACCCGTGCACTCCCCTGGCGGCAGCAGCAGCAGCAGCGGGGGGCATGTATGCGGTGGGGGGGAAGATTCCCGAGTCAGACATGACGGACGTTGCTCGCTTCCTGAACCGCATGCTGGGACTGCAACCCGCACAGCAGAACAGGTGCCCGCCTGCCTGCCTGCCTGCGTTCTCCCTGCTCCAGCCCGGCTTTGCACACCTCCATCACCCTCCACGTCCCCTCTTCGCCCTCCTTCCCTTCCTCCGCTCCTCCTTCCTCCCTGTCAGTCTCCCTTCCACTCCTCATCCCCCTCAAATAACGCCAGCCTATGCAGGTTCTTAGAATACAAGTATCATAGCAACTTCCCTCCACTCCCTTCCTTCCGCTCCCTTTCCTCTACTGCCTTCCCTCCCACATCCCTCCCCAGGTTGTTTGAGTTCTTTGCGGCCATATTCGCCCACCTGGTGGCAACAGCGCGCAAGGAGGGCGAGCTGGACATGGGTATCATCAGCGTGCGGGCACCCAGAATCACAGTTACACAGCCGTCGCAGGTGAGGCAGTTCTTGTTCTTGAGGATTCTTCAGAATGTGTTTGCCAAGAGTGCCTTTTACAAGGAGGGCGACCTGGACGTATCATCAGCGTGCGGGCGCCCAGAATCACCGTCACACAGCCGTCGCAGGTGATTTAGCCCTTCAGTGCCACAACACTTCCTCTTGGGAAATTTTATGGAATGCTGCGAAGCAAGAATGGGTTGCAGGGCCCGGCGACTCAAGAATGGGCTGGTGGGGTTGTGTTTCCATTGTTCTCGAGAGAGGTTCAAAGAGCTTGCGCGGCCACAGGAGGGGTAGTGTGGGCGGGATTGACGGATGAATGGGATGCACATGATGCACATGATGCACATGATGCACATGATGCACATGATGCACATGATGCACATGATGCACATGATGCACATGTCACAAAGTGCACATGACACAAAGTGGGCTTGGGCTGTGTTTGGAGACGCCGCAAATTTTGGGTTGTGTGGAACTAGTTTGTGCACCGGCGCACCTAAATCGTTCTCATCATCTTTCAAGTGCAATCTGTGTTTGTGTGTGAGCGCACTGCTCTCTCGCTTGTTTGCGTGTGTGTGCATGCATGCATGCATGTCTGCTCTGCTGGTGCGTGCGTGCATGTGTGCATGCATGCACCAGGTGGTGTGTGAGGATGAGGTATCAGGCGGCAAGACCTTCCATGTCGTGCTCACTATTGACAAGGGACTCAACTGGGAGGTATGTGCCTGCACTATGCCCCGCCACGCCCCCGCCATGCCGCCACATGCCTCTCACCGCGCCCCCACCATGCCCCCACCATGCCCCCACCATGCCCCCACCATGCCCCCACCATGCCCCCACCATGCCCCCACCATGCCCCCACCATGCCCCCACCATGCCCCCACCATGCCCCCACCATGCCCCCACCATGCCCCCACCATGCCCCCACCATGCCCCCACCATGCCCCCACCATGCCCCCACCATGCCCCCACCATGCCCCCACCATGCCCCCACCATGCCCCCACCATGCCCCCACCATGCCCCCACCATGCCCCCACCATGCCCCCACCATGCCCCCACCATGCCCCCACCATGCCCCCACCATGCCCCCACCATGCCCCCACCATGCCCCCACCATGCCCCCACCATGCCCCCACCATGCCCCCACCATGCCCCCACCATGCCCCCACCATGCCCCCACCATGCCCCCACCATGCCCCCACCATGCCCCCACCATGCCCCCACCATGCCCCCACCATGCCCCCACCATGCCCCCACCATGCCCCCACCATGCCCCCACCATGCCCCCACCATGCCCCCACCATGCCCCCACCATGCCCCCACCATGCCCCCACCATGCCCCCACCATGCCCCCACCATGCCCCCACCATGCCCCCACCATGCCCCCACCATGCCCCCACCATGCCCCCACCATGCCCCCACCATGCCCCCACCATGCCCCCACCATGCCCCCACCATGCCCCCACCATGCCCCCACCATGCCCCCACCATGCCCCCACCATGCCCCCACCATGCCCCCACCATGCCCCCACCATGCCCCCACCATGCCCCCACCATGCCCCCACCATGCCCCCACCATGCCCCCACCATGCCCCCACCATGCCCCCACCATGCCCCCACCATGCCCCCACCATGCCCCCACCATGCCCCCACCATGCCCCCACCATGCCCCCACCATGCCCCCACCATGCCCCCACCATGCCCCCACCATGCCATGCCCCCACCATGCCATGCCCCCACCATGCCCCCACCATGCCCCCACCATGCCCCCACCATGCCCCCACCATGCCCCCACCATGCCACCATGCCCCCACCATGCCCCCACCATGCCCCCACCATGCCCCCACCATGCCCCCACCATGCCCCCACCATGCCCCCACCATGCCCCCACCATGCCCCCACCATGCCCCCACCATGCCCCCACCATGCCCCCACCATGCCCCCACCATGCCCCCACCATGCCCCCACCATGCCCCCACCATGCCCCACCATGCCCCACCATGCCCCCACCATGCCCCCACCATGCCCCCACCATGCCCCCACCATGCCCCCACCATGCCCCCACCATGCCCCCACCATGCCCCCACCATGCCCCCACCATGCCCCCACCATGCCCCCACCATGCCCCCACCATGCCCCCACCATGCCCCCACCATGCCCCCACCATGCCCCCACCATGCCCCCACCATGCCCCCACCATGCCCCCACCATGCCCCCACCATGCCCCCACCATGCCCCCACCATGCCCCCACCATGCCCCCACCATGCCCCCACCATGCCCCCACCATGCCCCCACCATGCCCCCACCATGCCCCCACCATGCCCCCACCATGCCCCCACCATGCCCCCACCATGCCCCCACCATGCCCCCACCATGCCCCCACCATGCCTCTCACCATGCCTCCCACCATGCCTCTGCCATGTAACCACCATGCCCTTACCATACTGCCACCACTGCTGTAATCCCCATCGTATTGTCTGCTCTCTCTCCTCTCTTCAACGCCCCCTCCCGCCTCCACATATGCCGACTTACCAGAGACCACCCTTAGCCTTTCCATCCCTCCATCAATGCTCCCTCTTCACCTCTCCTTCTGCTGCCATTCTCCCCCATCCCCATTCCTTTTCCCTGCCCCCGCCCCTTTCCCAGTCTGCCAGACAACTATACAACGATGCATCGGCGAAGGTGGGGCAACAGGGCAGGGCGGAGGGGGGCGGGGAGGAGGATGGGGAGGGCGGTGAAGTGGAGGAGGAGGGGAAGGGGAAGGAGTCACGAGGAAAGAAGAGGAAACAGGGGGAGGCGGAGGGGGGAAGTGGTGATGGAGTGGATGGTGGTCACGTGAAGAACGAGGAGGGTATAATGGAGGAGGGGAAAGATGGGAAAGAGGATGGGAAGGAGGAGGGCAAGGAGAAGGAGGGAAAGGATGGGAAAGATGGGAATGAGAAGGAGGGGAAGGAGGTGAAGGAGGAGCGGAAGGAGGTGACCGAGGCGAGGGAGGCGAGGCAGTGGAGGGAGCGAGCGGCACGGGTGAACGGGTTCTATGTGTCACAGAGGGAGTGGCTGGGCCGCAAGCACTACCTGCTCGCCCTGCTCTGGTGCGTGCACCTCTCCCTGCCCTCCTCTGGTGCGTGCACCTCTCCCTGCCCTGCTCTGCTGTGGGGGATGCAGTACAGGCCATAGGTAGCGCGGCATTGGTTGGTTTCAGTGTGGGTAATGGAAGTTCCATAGGTAGCGGCATTGGTGTGTAAGCATGAAAATTGGCTATTCCATTGGCTTTTATGGCGTCCTTGTATGGCGTCCTTGTATGGCGTCCTTGTGCTGGCACTGGATGAGCGAGATGGGTGGGCCCTAGGCAATGGTGTAAATCCCGGTGTTGGAACATCCTTATTTTCTTTGACCCTCCCTCGTTCCTGGCCCTTTCCTTTGCCCCCGCCTCCCCCACCCCCCACTCCCCACCCCCGTTGCTTGTGCTCTCGCCCCTGCTTCACATTTCCCATTGCCTCCCCCATTTCCTTGCCTTTGTGTTGTGCCCCTCCTTGCCCGTGCCTTGGAGGGACAGTCCGCCAACACCGGGCCAGAAACCAGCGGTGCAGATTTTCCGACCGCGCACATCCGCTGCTAACAGGTGCACATCCGCTGCTAACAGGTGCACAGGGCACAGGTGGCGAGGGAAAAGGTTGCGAGGGCAGAGGTTGCGAGGGCAGAGGTTATGAGGGTGCATGCAGTGAGAAAGAGGTGTTTCCATTCAAGTACACCAGTGGCTGCACATGAACTTGTGTTCAGCAATAAACTCACTTCAAACTACCACATCTGATGTTCCCACTCACGTCTCCTGCATGTACCAAGCTCAACCCTGAACCTCCCATCTTCCACCCCTGCCCTTCTTCCCCGTTCCTTCATTACATACGATGCCAGGCCCACCCCGCTGGTGGACTTTCTGGACAAGTATTCCAAGGTGCCGCCCGCCAGGCTGTCGTCGCTGCAGGCCATCTGGGACGCGGAGTACGAGCAGAGCGCCACGCAGGTGAGGGGCTCGCCACTCTTCTATCGTGAGGAGATTTAGGAGATTGAGGAGTTTGAGGAGATTGAGCTGTGCTCTGCGATTGTTTCCTGTTCTCACTATATATTCCAGGTGACATCACCCTTCTTTCACCCCCAGCACCTCTCCCCCATCTCATGCCCTCCCTTGCAGTAATGGGGGGAAATCGAGAATATACCCGACAAATATGTCCTTTCTGCATCTACAACCATCATTCTCCCATACTCGTTCCCACTCTCTGCCTTTCTCTTCGTCCCTACACCTCCCGTCCCCTCTTGCCAGTGCATGCACGGCCCCAAGTGCCGTGCAGGGGCGAGCTGCAAGGTGGGGCTGCGGCTGCAGCAGATGCACCTGCTGCATGGGGCCGTGTTCCCTGTCTTTGGCGTCATTGACCAGGCACTCATGGCACAGGTAAGTGCACACATGCCTTTAATGTCATGCCACGTATGCTCATGCCACACATGCTCATGCCACGCATGCTCGTGCCACACATGCTCGTGCCACGCATGCTCGTGCCACGCATGCTCGTGCCACGCATGCTCATGCCGCATACACACTTGCCTCTGCTGTCACTGCCAACTTCCTATCGTCTCACTCTCCCTACAAAAATTTCCTGTTGCCATCCTCCTGCCCTCAACTTTCCCAATCCCTCCCCCCTCAACCCCTCCCCTCCTCCTTTCCTTCTCCAGTCATCCGCACAGCACAAGAGGGTGCATGTGGCACATGTAGAGGCCAGTGATGGAAACAAGTATGTGGGCGTGCACCTGCCTGCGCCTGCTGTCATGCCCATTCTAGATGGTACGATGCTTGGGGGGGTCCAGAGTTGGGGGGGAGGTGGGAGGGTGTGGGATGCCATGGTTGCTATGCTGGGCGTAGGATGAATGACTCTGTGACCTCCTATGCTCGTCCCGCCACTCCCTTTTTAACGCGCGCGCGGCGCGCTGGCACACGCACCACAAAAACAAACAAAAGCACACAAGATTTTAGTAGTCACTGGGTTGTTCACCTGTATGCCGTCTGTCTCCTGCTCCATTTCCATCTCATTCTTGCCTCCCTCGCAGGGATAAAGAAGCTCAAGGAAAGCAAGGAGGGCAATCGGGACCAACCTATTGACCTCTCCTGAACCTTGCTGGAACTATTGCAACCGTGTGAAACAGAATATTCCCTCGGGCACCAGCGGCTAGTCTAGTCCACTCACTCTGAATGTGGAATATCACGATGGTAAAATTGAAGGATAAACACTTCTATATGTTATGTTGACTTTTTGCTCACGTGCTTTTAGAGTTCACTGTATTCCTGGTAGCTGCTAAGTCAACGGCTGCTGCTGTGCATGTTTTATGTATATGTTTTGCGCTAACTTCTCACGGTGCATGCGTTGTCCTGTGGATCATAAGTTTTGAATAAGGATAAGAACACTCAAAAGGTGAAGTGATATTTGACGGCCAAAAAATATGTAAGAAAAATTTGCTGGTCAGCTCTGTACTTAGCCTGTATGGATTCATTATACGAATCTGGAATCATGTGGCGCAGCGACCTCTGTATATGTCGCGTCGCGCAATTATTTCAATTCTCTCGTTGTCCATCTCCAATAATTATGTTGCGCGCCTCGCTCCCCCTCACACGCACCACCAACATCGCCCCCCCTCAAAGCAAGAGAAGCTCGCCCAGTTGCGTAGGAGAGGAGCTCTGTCCTATTGCTCGTCTGCGTGCTTTCGAACCTGCTACTGAATCTTTCACGCTCTGGCAGACAATATCAATTCTTGCATTGCTTGCAATTGCTGTTTCAAGCAGGCTCGAGCTCCCAAGGACCGACAAATAGCCCACCGTGCTTCAGTTCAGCAATCCTTTCGTTTCACTCGTTACTCTTCCCTGCGATCATCGCTGCAGAGGAACAGCACCGCCTTACAGCAGCATTTCACGAAACTGCATTACAGCTCAATTGTGCGCCTCGGAATCTACCGAGAAACCTGCATCCGTGGAATTCAGCGGAACCGCACAGCCATAAATCGTCCGCGAGACTCCTCAAAACTCGGCCGACGCGGGGCGGCCTCATCATGGCGACGGCCAGCGATGCGCCGAAGCGCGGCGAGCTGCGGTACGCGATGGTATCGCGCGGCGTGGACGTGCTGGCGGAGCATTCGATGGTGAAGGGCGACCTGAGCGCCACGGTGCACGATTGTCTCGCCCAGCTTCCCAAAGACAGCGCCGTGTACGTCGCGCTTCCGCACGGAGACTTCACCATCGCGTTCCAAACGGAGAAGGAATACGGTACGCGACGCGGGCCGCGGGGGGAGTACAATGGGAGGCAGTGAGGCGCGCTAAAGCATCCTGCCGCCGGGGAGAACGTTATAGGAGCGTATTTGGGCGGAGTGTTCCGGGATTGATTGGGAATGGGAAGGCAGTTCGGGAAGTTGCCGTATGAGGTATATAGTTATTTCCCTGCTTTCCTAAACCCTCCTCCCCAGTCGTGTGCCCTCAATAGAATCTCAGCACACACCATGACAGCGAGATATAGCTTACGCTCGAATGTTCCGCCTCAACGAGTCATCGCGTACTTGTCATCACCGCCCTGCGCGTCTCGCCCCTGTCCACCCCCGCGCCTGTCCCCCCTTCTTCCCCGTCTTCCCCCACTTATACCCCCACCCGCCGCAGTGTTCGGCGTGCTGGCGGACAAGGAGGTGGCGCGCGACTTGCTGCGCGGGTTCCTGGGGAAGCTCCAGTTGGGTTTCATGCCCAAATACAGCACCAAGGCGCGCGCCTTGCCCGCGGGCGCGCTGCAGCGCGAGTTCGGGTGAGTCGTTGTGCGCAGACCAGGGGGATGGGGACGCCGAAACGGCGTCGCAGTGAATAGACATGTTCGTACCGCTCGGCGATGCCTGATTTCCCGAAGCTTGAGTCACTCGCCTTACCCGTCTCTCCATTTCGATTTCGCTCCCCTCGCTGCTGCTGCTCCACCAACCGTTGCGCCACCATTCCCGCGTCCGTCTCCGCGTGGCATGGCAGGCCGAAGCTGAAGCAGCAGCTGCAGGAGGCGTCAGCTCGGCCAGAGGAGCTGAGCAGGTTGGCCAAGATAAACGTGCAGGTGCAGGAGGTGAAGGGCGTGATGCTGGAAAACATCCGCAAGGTGAGAGCACGAAAGAAATCTTCCGGATTTTCTTCTTCTTCTATTACCTCTTCTTCTTTTACCTTTTCTTTCCCTCTGACCCAGCAGCAGAGATGCAGTCACGCTTACCTGCACTCTCGTTGCGCCCCCTCCTACGGCTTTTTTAGACCCCGTGCTTACCACCCTGGTCTCTGTGTGTTTCCGCGCTCGCTGGCCCGGCAGGTGATCGAGCGAGGGGAGAGGCTGGAGGTGCTGAACGAGCAGGCGAACGCGCTGCATGAACAGGTGCGTGCTGCAGCTGCACGGGCATGGGTGTGTGATGGGAGTGTGGCGTGTGGGTGCATGGATGAAGCTAGCAGGGGAAAAAGGACGAACATATATCACGTGCACAATAAGGCTGACCGTTAAGCTGGTAGAAGTAATGCATGTCCCACCATTTTTCTGGCAAGGCTGGTGTCCTTGATAAACATGTCAACCTCCGGTTTTCTCTGTTTTGTTTGGACAGGCTGGGCAGTTTAAGAAGGGGGCAAAGAAGGTGAAGACGAAGATGATTTTGGAGAACATGAAAATAAAGATCGTAATCATCGTGATCCTTGTGCTGCTACTGGGAGGCATTGTCAGCCTTATCGCCTGCCGAATAGCCAAGTGCTAAGTGGCTTTCCAGCCGCCCTAACTCAGATCAGAACTTCCTGCTTGACACAAACACACTCCACCAGTGCACTTCCCTCCATCCAATTGCCTCCCAATGCTCAGTAGACTCTTTGGAAAGGAGGGTTTTAATAAAAAGGGATACCAGTGAATGTATAAGCCATAACCTTAATACTACAGGGAAATAGATAGCTACCACTATTTAAAGGGAAATATTTAGCTACCACTATTTAGAGGGAAATAGGTAGCTGTGGTGCCATACAGATGAAAATACCAGCCCTCCCTATTTAGGGCAAAAAAGTATCTCTGCACGCCACGCCCACTTTGCACCTCCATGGCTGTATTTGCACTGATATATATGGCAAAAACCTTGTGCACTAATATATGGTGTATTTGCTGTGAACTCTTCGTATTAGTGTACTACCCTATAGCGGATTCTCAAAAACTCCATCCACTTCGAAGTTTTTTGTGTGACGCGTTCACCGCGTTGGCCGCAAGCTCGGCCTCGTCAATCCCTGCTTACCCGTCTCGAATAATGCTGCGCGCCTCGCTTCCCCTCGCACCACCAAAATCCTCCTGTGTTTTTGCTAGTGCGTACCTGATTCCACTTTCACGCGACGTCGAACCCGCTGGAGTCCTTCGATCCAGTGGGGCAGCGGAGGAGCGCCGTACGACTGCTTCTCTTCGTGCAGCCGACCCTGCTGCTGAGCATACACTCACGGAATCTGCATTGCATCAGAACCTATGCAGTTGCCGATTCTACTAGTGCACCCTATCTTTACGGATCCGACGAGTTGCCCACTGTGCCTCAGTTCCCTAACCTGTGAGCATCGCAACCCAAAACGACCATTCAGCGATCCTTTGTTTCACAAATTTCCCTCCGCTTGCTCAATACGCTTCTAGAGAACATCGCTGTGGAGGAACAAGAGGAATACCACCGTCTCAAAGCGACGATTTACGAAAACTCCAACACACCTGAATCGTGCGCCTCGGAATCTACCGGAAAACCGCGGCATCAGTGGCACACGGAACCACACAGGCGAAATCAGTCAGTCCGCGAGACTCCTCGAAACTCGGGCGACGCGGGGCGGCCTCACCATGGCGACGGCCAGCGATGCGCCGAAGCGCGGCGAGCTGCGGTACGCGATGGTATCGCGCGGCGTGGACGTGCTGGCGGAGCATTCGATGGTGAAGGGCGACCTGAGCGCCACGGTGCAGGAGTGCCTCGCCGTGCTGCCCAAGGACGGCGCTAAGCACATCGCGATGCCGTACGGCGACTTCACCATCGCGTTCCAGACGGAAAAGGAATACGGTACGCATCGCGGCCGGGAAGCGCGGTCCAATAGGATGCAGCGCGGCGCGCTGAGACAGCCTCCTGCAAACATGAATGCAGCTGAGCGGGATACCACAGGGTTTGTCGGGAATTGCGCGTCGAGAAGCATGCTCTGTATGGAAAGCGCATGTCGAAGAGGTGGGAGTGGTTCCTTTTTTTTTTTTTCGCCAACCCGCACTGCTACTTCCTCTCCCCATGACCACAGGTTTCCTTCCTCGACCCGCAGCGCCTGGGGTCTTAATCAAATGGCCGCGATGCACGAAAAGTGTCTGGTTTCTCGTCCCGTCTGCACACTCCGTAGGGCCATCACTCACGCTATCTTCTCCTCTCTCGCCCTGTGCCCCCCTCCCCCCAGTGTTCGGCGTGTTGGCGGACAAGCAAATGCCGCGCGACGTGCTGCGCGGGTTCCTGGATAAAGTGAGGTCGGGCTTCATGGCCAAGTACGGCACCAAGGCGCGCGCCATGCCCGCGGGCGCGCTGCAGCGCGAGTTCGGGTGAGTCAGCGCGGGCGGACCGGGGGGTTGAGGGCGGCGGAATGGCATCGCAGAGAAAATAGTAAAAGCACCGCGACGTTAGTGGTGCGATGGGTTAGCGGATCCCTGCTGAGCTTGATTGCCCAAGACTAAAGCCTCATGAGTTACCCGCTCCTTGTTCTTTGTTCGGCACCCATTGCACGATCGCCGCTCCCCCAACCCTGTGTGGCTCCCCCCGTCCGCCCGTCCCCGCGTGGCATGGCAGGCCGAAGCTGAGGCAGCAGCTGCAGCAAGGGACGGCGCGGCCGGAGGATCTGAGCAAGGCAGCGAAGCTGCTGGGGCAGGTGGAGGAGGTGAAGGGCGTGATGCTTGAAAACATGAAAAAGGTGAGCACATCAGTGCATGCAATCCCCGGTAATGCACGTGCCTTCCTCTCCGACGCAGCCAACCAGATGCATTCATGCGTGCTCGCTCGTCCAGCCCTCCTCCTGCATTCTTAGCCCCCTTTTTCTACTGACCTGATGTTTGATTCTGTCTCTCTCCGCGCCCGTTGACTTGGCAGGTGATCAATCGCGGCGAGAAGCTGGAGGTGCTGAACGAGAAGGCAAACGAGCTACAAGAAAATGTGCGTGCTGCTGCATGGGCATGGGTGGCACGTGGATGCATAGATAAAGCATGCATAGGAGAGAGGAATAACATGTATCACGGGGAGAGTATGACTCACCGCTCGTATGGTAGAAACACCTGGTGTTGTACTGCCATGGTTGGTGGGGTTATTTAACATGCTACTCTTTTGCTTTCTCTGATTGGTGTGTACAGGCTGGGCAGTTTAAAAAAGCTGCGACGAAGGTGAAGACGAAGATGTGGTGGGAGAACATGAAAATAAAGATCGTAGTCATCATAATCCTCGTGCTGCTGCTGGGAGGCATCGTCAGCCTTATTGTCTGCCGAATAGTTAAGTGCTAATATCTGGCGTTCCAGCCTCCCTCCCAACCTCATGCTGGACCCACGCACACTCCACTAGTGCACTTCCCTCCATCCCATTGCTTCCCACTGCTCAGTAGACTACCTCTGTGAGCCCTGGAACGTGTTTGGGAAGGATGGCCTGTTTAATAAAGTGGGATAACAAATATATGTATAAAGTATTTATTTGATAATACAGGGAATAGCTAGTTGCAATGCCATACAGATCATGAACAATATTATACAGACATTCCAATCAATACTTGTCAAATGTTGTAGTCTTTAGTGATGTGTGTCATGTCGGGTACAGCAGTTAGGGTTAAGTTTATGTACCCCAACCAACCTTAGTCAAACCATCATTCAGTTCTTGACATGGTATCACCTAGGTTAGGATCCCTTCAGTGAGATCCCGTTCCTCTCGCTCACGCCCGTAGCTCCCGAGCCTGTCCTGTACCCTAGTGTTAGTCACGCTCGTACCGTTCCCTAACGCCCGCTGAGCCTGACGGTTGCGTCGCACCCACTTTCCCGTCGCGTCGTGTCCCCACCCTGCCCGTCCCGTCCGTCGCGTCGTGTCTGTCCTGTCCCATCTAGCCCGTCGCGCCCGTCCCGTCTGTCCCGTCGCGTGCGCCAGGCCTGCCCGCCGCGCAGCACCGAGCCGCGCGCGACCCGTCCTGCCTGCCGCGCGCGTTCCGTGACCCGTCCTGTCTGCCGCGCACCGCCGAACCGCACATGTCTCGTCCCGTCCTGCCATGCCGCACTGCGCCCGTCCTATCCCGTCGCGCCGCACTGCCCATCCTGCCGTGTCGCGCCCTACCCTACCGTCCTGCAGTGCCCTGAGCCTCACACACTGCCTATCATGCCCTACGCAGGTCCTCTTTAGGGTCTCGGCAACAGCAATTCCCACTTCTTCGCTTCCGCTATGGCGACCCCTAGGGTCCTGCGCTTTGACGCCGAGGGTAGGCCGCTTGAATCTCCGTCTGGCTCTTACGTGCGCGCCGCCTCCCAGAGAGTCAGGTTCAGGCGGAAGAGTCTCTGTGGGCGCACGCTTCCTTTGACCTTCCTGCACCCTCCGACCCTACACCCTTACGTGCTGACGCCAGCACTGTAGACAGAGACCGTTATGCACGCCAGCATGCTAACCTTACAGTGTGGAAGTCGCGTGACGCTGCGGCCTGCATCGCCCTTAGCAGCCTCCTCCCTGAGTCTGAGGAGACCCACTTAACTCAAGTTTGCACTGCTAGTGAGTTCCTTACTGCGATCAAGGCCCGCTA